TGTAAAAATAATAAAATTAAAAATGTTTATATTATAAAATCCTTTAATTTTTTTTAAATTTTACAATCATAAATGTGTATATATAACAAAAACTTAGTAAGTTATTTTATTATAAAATAAATGAATATTTTTTTCTTTTCAAATTTTCTAGAAATAAATCTCTAAATATAATAGAAATTTAACTTTTGAATCCTGTAAAAATAATATCTTAATAAGTAATTTTTAATTGATTAAATGAAATACAAAATTACTTAATTTTATAATTTATATTTAAATATTTACATTAAAAAAATCTTACCATAAATAACTTAAAAGATTTATCTGTTAATTTAGTCCTTTGAGTAATTCTTGGCCACTTAATTCGAAATTTTCCATCATTTCTGTTAGTCCATTCGACATCTTTTCCGTATTGTTTATTAAAAAGTGCAGGAAGAAGAAAATCCTCGATGAGTTTACTGTTAATTTTTACGCTCATTTTAACGGGGCAAACTCTGAAACACGTTTATATAAATTAATTACGATTCTGGATTAATAAACAAAGTTTAAGTTTCGCTTTGGTGTTCTCTTTTGATATAATCAATTTGGAATTTAGCGCTTTACTCCGTTGAGATAAAGGAAAAAGAAGCTAGAAGCGAAACCAAAAATGGATATTGTGTTCATAAGTTAATCCGGCATTATTTTGTTTTCGCCAAATTTAATTCGATACAAGTTATGTTTTTAATTTATATTTTAAAATAATCATTCTTTTAACTGATAATAGTGTAAAAATGTAAAATTACTTCTTCTAGAAGAGATAAAAACGTTCATAAGAAAAGTCTAGTAGGAGTTACTTTTAGTCAAATCTACCTATTCTTATACACACGAGAAGCACGTAAAGTAAACTTCTCTTAAAATTTACCATCTTGAAGGATAAAAATCCTATTTAATGATCTTCAATAAGTTGTATGAAAATCTAAATGCATTTTATAAGATTTAACACGCTTTATTCTTTATTTTTACACGTAAACTTATTCAAATCTTGTATATAAAAGTAAGGAATCTTAATAAGAAAACTTCATACGTCATCTATTTACATTTATTATTTTTAATGAATTAAATTATATAATTATTATGAATTATTATTCAATTTATAAAAATATATTCAAATTTATTGTTCTCGGTCCAAATTTCTGAATTATTATTTAATTGGATTTATTTAGCTTATTAAACTTACTAATGTTACGAATTGGCAACATTAATCGTTAATATTTGTTGCCATAGTTACGTACAAACTAAAGCTCGAACCCAGTTACTCGCCGTTATAAAAGTAAAATATTAATGGATTCAAATTCAAAATAGGAACGAGATTAAAAATTTTAAATTTTAAAATATAGTAAATAAAGTGTGAATAATAATCAATAAATAAAAAATATACGAAAAATATTTTAAGAATGTTGATAACTTTCCAAGAGAAAGAAAAATAAAAATAAAAGAAAAGAGAATTCTTTTGGTGATATTGTTTACTTTTTTTGTTGTTTTGTTTTTTAATAGAACAAGGAATGAAAAATATGTTATTTGTTTAGATAAAAAATCACATATTTTTATATAGAATTATTATATTGTAAATTCTTTAAACAGAAAAAAAAGTAGTTTTTTTTTTAAATTTAATTATTAAAAAAGTAATCTAAAATATTTAAAAAGCTTATAAAATTAAATAATATCACGTAAAAAGTTAATATTTTCATTCAAAATGCATTTAATTTTAAAATATTATTGATAAATTTTTAAATTACGAAAATATCTCTACCGATATTTTTAAATAAACGTTTGTAACGCCATCTATTGATATGTATAAAAATATATATATACATATATATTTATATATTAAATTTGTAAATGAAAGGAAGCATTTAAAAGCTTCTTAAAATAAACGAGCTTTGAGTAGAGTTAAGTAAGTTATATTTTATATATTTATTAAATATTTTTCTTCTTTCTTTCTTTCATAAATTCGAATTTTGTTGATGTCATTAATGACGTAATACGAGATAAATTATTTGCCTCTTTAAAATATACTTAAAATTTTAAACAATTAAAAAATTATTATTAAGTGTAATTATACTTATTAAAATTACCGTAATTTATATATTAAGAAATTTTTATTGCATATTTTGTTAATTTCTTTCATTATTTTTTTAAATTTAACGACCATTTAAGTAATCACGTGATCGTAGTTTTAAATAACGAAAAGCGCCGTCGGTGGCAGAAAAGTAAACTATAGTTGTATTTATTTATTGCCGTTACGGTAATTAATTTCTTTATTATTTTTTTTTTCCTTTCTTTCTTTATGAAATGAATTGAAGGATTCTTTTTGAAGATTTTTATTTCTGGAGATGATTTTTAAGATTGCATTTTAGGAAATAGCTCTTTGGAACAGATGACACTTTTCTAGAAAAATGGATTCTTTAGATGACAATGACCAGTCGCTTGAAACATCAAGTACTTTGATGTTGAAAATACTTTATCAGGATAATAAAGGAGTTATGTTAGCGCTTGAATTTTCCTATATAGACTGGAATATTTTTTAAAAAATATTTATGTATTATATATAAAATTTTCCTGGTTTTTTTACGTACACTTTTATCGCATCATCTAGACTATTTTCAGTATAAAAAGTACATTAAAATAGCGTTATTTTTATTTATTTATTTATTTTTTGATAGAATTGTAATCGTAATTGCTTCTTTTCCAGTATTTTTGTATTTATAAAAGAGAGTACATGAATTTTTTTCTTGTATTATTAATTTTTTTTTCCTACAGCGAATTTTATTAGAATTGTTTCTTTTGAATTTTATCATAAAAGAAAGACTGTCGTCACGCTAAGAGATAACATAATCATATTTTTCACTTTTTCTGGAATTTTTCGTCTCGTATCTTTCAAAATATGAAAGAAAACTTAGCTTTTTTTCTCCCATTTTCTTTCTTTTCTAAGGTGTGATTCATCAAAAAAATAAATAAAAAGAAAATGGTACCATACCTTCCAAGAAAAGAATTACATCATCACTACTTCCAAGCGAAATGACATCACTGTTAATATCTAAACCAATCGTATTACTCTTTACACTAAGCGGAAACCTTTTCGAATTACTTTTTTTTTATTTTTTCCTCTTAAATATTATCACTTTTTATTGGATAATTCAATCATAATTAATTTTTCTTATCGGCTCCTTGTGTAACAAAAAATAAAGAACGTTGTCACATTCAGTAGAAGGTCCTTATATTAAGAAAGAGTAATTACTTCGGGATATTTCCTTTAATACACCGAAGAAGACATTAATTTATCTTGGAAATATACTTTGTCTTACTATTTATTTCTTATAAATAACTACTTAAGAGAATTACTAAAGAATCTCAACATTAAATAGAGGAAGAAAAAGGAGATAAATCATGTAAATTATTAAAGTAAATTCTTGTAAATATTTACATGTGAATAGATTTAAATCTGTAGTCAAATTATCACGAGAAATTCGTCCGTTTTGATCACATATTTCCACTAATTAAAATTAATATGTTATATTATCTTTGTTTATAATACTTTAATAAATAACAAGTGGCTCTATAATTGAAATATGTAACAAGTTATAGCATGTCAATACTGTGTTATTCTAATATATTATTCACGTATAACTACTACATGATCGTTCATGTAATTGGATTTATCTTAATTATCATTTTATGTGTGTGAATGGGATGGGATTTAGACTTGCTGCTACCTTAGGCTATAATATATAAGAGGCCGTTCCAGGAATAGTAAATTTAAAAGCATAGTGCCCTAAACTGTAGCATCGTAGCGCGAAGTTCTAATCTTATGTATGTATGTATGTGTGTAATGTTAATGTTTAACGTGTAAAGAAATGTTTGTGCACATAAATTTCTGTTTTAAAATAAAAGCCCTATATCTAAAAATGTATGGATCTAAGTAGCTTTTTGGATTTTGAAAAAATAACGTTATTTTCTTTTGAAAAACTGGAGAGGATACCTCGCTACTTCGCCATTTTCCTAACTGTAGAGTCATTACAATGATAAAGTGGATAAAACATAAGTGCAAAATGTATCCCTTATATACGTCCCTTACTGTCAAAATATCTATTAAATCGGGTTTATATATAGCAAGCGTATAATGGCCTAAAAATAAGGTTAATCTGAAGATTTACGGTTTAGAAATCCAGCTTAATCTAATACAAACCGACTCCATATTTTTCTATGTACAAATGGTGATAATATTCCGCTCGATATAGTTTTCCTTGGGTGTTTTCTTATCAAATAACTCCAGGATATTCTCCGGATAATAACTTCGAGATAATGGCTAACAGGGAATTAGATAAAGTAAGTCATTGACCATTATCCATTTACCCATTAGGGGGTTACCTATATAAAAGTAATGTTTATTTAAATATGATAAATAATGCATATAAAATAATCATAAGAATACATTTATTTTAAAAGGTAAGAGTCTTTCTTCTCAGTAGATTTGATCTTACAAATTGCTGCCAAAACCGAGACTGACAATATAACTGATAACTCAGCTTTCTCCGAAGAAAGTTTTTTCTTTATATATTTTTTATAGCAATTCTTAGTTTTTATACAAAAATAAACTTCTCTGAAATTTTCTACATAAAAAAATTATATTTTATCTGTGTTTTTCGTGTTTAAAAATGATTTTCCACCATTTTAAGTACTTGAGAGTAGCTTTAAACGATGAAAAATAAATAAATAAAATCGGTATTATTCTGAATATTTTGCATGGATCGAATAGAAAAAATATTCTACTTTTATGACGGAATTTTCCATCATAATTTCTTCTCTTCTTAACGTACTTATTATTACTCTATTGTAGCTAGAAGCATGTCATATAAAGTTTATGATTTGAGTACTAGAGCAGGCGATTGTATGTTATTTTAATGTTTCTCATTTCACTAAAATAAAACGTTATTAGTATAAATGCAAACTTCTTGAATTATTTCCGCTAATTCTATTAATAAAACAAAGAAAAACAACAATAATAAATAGGAATATGTTCATGCTGATGATAAATATACAATGCTGATGTGCTGCACATTCACTGAAAATTGCATAATCTCTAGTAATGTTGTCATCATAGAGTTTATAATAATTTATTCGTATAATTCCTTAAAATTCTTATATGTGTAGCAAATCATCATTAGAAATTAAATGATCAAACGTAACTATTTGATCCCTGGTTACATTAAGAATAATCAAATTAATCTCGAGAGATATTCTATATATAAGAATATTTATTAAACAACAGCAAGTAATGCGTTAAGACGTACAGTACATAATAATTAAATAATATTGTATTTTATTCACATAGTCCTTGTGAATTATTTACGTCAGTTGAATTTTGTGTGTAAAGATTCGTGTAATTTCTCATGCATTTTGCTCACATCTTAAGACTTCTTGTCTCAAGTCATTCGATTATTATTATTATTACTTTTTAATATTTAACGAATTATCATTAGTAACTCAATAATTGAACATAATTAGAAGTTAGATATCTTCTAGAGTTATCAAATTAATCTATGAGAAAATTTATATTAGTTATAACGATTTTAATTGATTAAAATATAGTAAATAAAGCGTGCAAGCAGTTCATCATAACTAAATGATGCTTGGTTCATGCAATTCCTAAGAATTATTTTGATCGTTTGATTCTTACGTTTAAGGATTGGTGTAATATCTCATGATTACTGTTCACCTGAGAAGATTTCTTGTCGGGAGTCATTAAAAATATTCGGATTTTACGGCCGTATCGCGTGATAATTAAAATATCTATTATCATTATCGTACTAAATTATTATCGTAATTAAAACAAGCAACAATAATTATCATAGTATCATTATTTATTTACAATTTTCATCTGTATTTTAACAACATATTATTACAGCTTCAAATATGAGACAGAGAAAAGTTAAATCGAGGTAGTTTGAAAATTAGAAAGGATTTTTTTTTTATATTAATTTATTTTTTTTTTGTCCTTTATATTTACAAAAATGATTTTTCCCTCTTTATTCATTTGTTAAAGAAGAATTTTAAACAAGGATATTCCTTCCACTTTCATAAAATTTCTTTTTTACTTTATAATTAAAATTGGTCTGATAAAAGATTTTAATTTATTTATTTTATAGCAAGATGAAAGAAGCTCTATATTATTTAAAGCATTAATTTTTCTAATTTTAGAGTAATTTAAAAAATTCCAAAAATATTAAACAAATAAATAAATAAATAAGAATTAATTTAATTTTTTAGATATTAACAACGTTTAAGATGATAATGATAATTAACTTTCTTAAATATTATTATTATTATTAATTAAACTCTAGAAATTTTAAAGTTTCGATATGTTTTTTTTTTTGTTTATTTATAGAATAAAATTAAAATTTGAGGGCATTTTTTATATGAGGATATTAATTTTATTATATGTTTATTTTATATAAAAAAGTAACCCGAAATAGTGATATTTTTATATATAATATCATTAGGAATAAGTGGAAATCGTAGCCCAAAAAAATGTATTTTTTCTTATTTTATGTTTTCACTTCAATGCATTGATTAGAAAAAAGGAACTGAAACTTTCATGCACTTCTCTTGATTCTAAATGATGTTATTAGTATAGAAAACTTCCTCTTGTTAGAGGCAAAAATGTCCTTTGTTTTATTATAGTCTCAATATTAAGATTTTAAAGCATGATCCTAAACTAATTCCTTCGTTTTGTGACCCTAAATGATATAAAATGTTTAATCTAACTTCTTCCTTAAGAGTAAGAGTACGTCGGTTGAGAAGATCGTAAATAAACAAGAGCGAACGAAAGGAATTAATAAGGGATTAAAATGAAATTAAATTAAACAATGAAGTTGTAAAGGGATTTAGAAGGGTCCACGAACCATGTAAGGCAATACACGAAATATCATTCCTCCTTTATTCCTAGTGAGAAGGTCAAATCGACGCACGCTTCTGCCTGGGATCATCACTTTGAAAAAACAGAGTTGTATCTGCGTGTATGGAATTCAATATGTCTTCTCGAGTTTCCGAAGTGCTAAGAATGTGCATTGGTAAAAGATGCGATGCCTTCGTAGGTGATTTCCTAAACGAATACTTAGATTTAGGCGTCCTCCTGTGGCTGTAACACGTACACGAACAAACCGACGTTATATCGTCACTATCGGATGTTTCGGGCCCTTGTCCCGATATAATGCTACCATTAGCCGTTATAACGTCACCTTCTAAACGTACCGCCTCTTGAGCGGCCGATTGAGCCTCCGCCTCATCCCTTCTCTCGTCTTCTGTGTTCATGGTCATGAACCTCAAAACTAAGAGGTTCATTGCTGCGGAAACTACGGATAATCCGAAAAGGATGAAAACTAAGCTGAAGGCAACGTACTCGGGCTTCCTTTGCAGTGCACTTTCTTTCTGCAATGCTACGTAATCGCCGAAACCTATGGTAGTTAGAGTGATGAAACAGTAATAAAACGAATCGAAATAATCCCAATGTTCGTATGTGGAGAAAGCAGCCGCACCTGTAGTCATAACTATTGTCGATAGAATTGAAACTAAACATATTAAATTAGTCTCTGACACATCAGTGTTTTTCATTTTGAGGCACCTTTTCCCGTGTTTCAATAAGTAGGCCACGAATGTGTTTAATCGTTCTCCGATGCTCTGGAACATCACCAGGCCGAGTGGAATTCCTGCCAAGGCGTAGAACATACAAAATGTCTTCCCTCCTAAAGTTGCAGGAGTAGAATGGCCGTAACCTGAAACGAAAAGAGATAAAAGTAAGTCTCCACGAGAATTCGTTTGCAGTTTCTTTGTTAGGTTACAAGTTTGATTTGTTGTAAAAAATACGTTTTTTTTTATATTTATACATTTTTTCTTTTCCTTTTCAGGATATTGAAAAGGAAAGTTGCTCGAAATATTTCGTTAGATACGCGAGAATATCCTCGATAAACTTTGAATTTAATTTATCCCGAATTTTTTAAAATTATAATTAACATAAATAAAGATAAGATAACGTAATCAAATTCAATTTTTCACGAAGAACGACGATTGGTTAAGAACAATAAATAAATCAACGTTGAAAGATTTAAAAATTTTTTTCCTGTCGTTGATTGGTTAAAACAATTTTAAGGCCGTCTTAACTTAATTTTAATATAATAAAGGACCAATCAGCGTAAGAATGTACGTATATAAGATGTTTATTTTACAATTTCTATGAAGATGATTAGTGAGCTAAATTTTAAAATAAACAAATTAATTAATTTCTTAAAATAAATTTAAANTTGTTTCTAATACGATTGCTTAACTAATTATGCTAAAAGTTTAATTCTAAATGCAATTAACTCCTCCATAATAAATGGATAATTAATTGTAATATTGTATTATACAGGACGATATATACGCGTATAAAAGTGATAACAAAAGCTCTGTTTATACAGAAAGAATTTTATTAACAAGAAAATAATCGCTTAAAAATAATTCCAGTTTAGTTTTGGTGTCGAGATAATCGTTTAGGTGTAATTAGCCAAAGATATCTAACGTATAGCTGCACTTTATTATCTGCACAGATAAGGATTTTGGGGTCAGTCGATAGAGAAAAAAACTCGTCTTACAAGAGGACAACATCCTTTTCCGGATAAACTCCTCTCTAGTATATATATATATAGTTGACTACAGACGTTCAATAATATTACATCGTGTCACAGAACACATTAAATATAAGTATACAACCGTAAAAGTGTAAGAAGTAACATAAACAGGGCTATTAAATAACATAAAATATGAATAAACACTCGAATACATGTCTAAACTTTCTTCCTTAAGAAATATATTTAAAAAAAATTAAAGTTTAAACGTGCAAAAATAATTGTAAGCAACTTAAATTAAAGTTTTATAAAATATTTGAAGAGTCGGAATTTCTTTAATGTCTGTTTACTTGTGATCTATGTGACTAGGAAACTAATGGTTAGATTTTAATGAAAATTAAATCACGTGTAAAATATAAAACAAGTTTTATCTTAACTAAACTTATGTAAAATTATTGCTATTTTTCACTAGTAAAATTCTTATTTAAAAATTCAACACATTTAAGTTAAAATATAGGCAATAAATTGAGTAAAAATAAAATAAAATAAAGTTATTTTTGTTGTTTATAGATTAATTTAACGAGAATATAATATTCCATATTGTCTATATATAAAATTCCATTATTATATTGTTGTATATAATGTTAATAACAATTATAATTGTTGGACTAATAAATCTTGCGATCCAAAATAAGATTAACCTTTGATAAATACGATCCTTGATATATTTTATCGTATTACTGATTACCATTTATAAAATTATTAATAAATTATTCTGTGATATGATCTTCCTACATCCTTACTGTCATTGCTCGGTGGACATCACATCTGCAGATAACGGCTGTGACGTTACAGGCAGTTGCCAAGACAACGGTCTCCCATTAAAATCATAGTCTTCCAATGCATCTGGTTAGTGTTTCAATTTAGTCGACTGAAATTTCTCAAAATGTTGGCCTACCGAATTCCATTCACGATTCATTCTTAACCGAATTGGATTTTCTAAAGAAGGAATTTGTTTGCTGTTGGGAGTATATAACGTTAAAAATCAGCATCCAATACAGGAAACTTTGATCCTTCTTTCATGCTCTAACTTTAGAGTAATTGAGTATAAAAATCCCTCTTATTATTCAGATATCGAAGAAAGGAATGCCGTGCATGCTATAAGAATTAATAAAGTATAAAATTATGTCTCGTAAGTCTTAGAAAAGATTCTTTTGGATGAAGAGATGAAGATGCTCTACATTATTTAACTTTCAGACGTTCCTATTCTTTGAATATAAAAATTCTCTCTCAAGATACTAGAATTCAGAACAAAACTTCAAGTTTTATTTCTTTAAAAAATACTTTAATAAGAACAAAAAAAAAATATACGAGAGTTACAATCGAGAAAACGGTAGATAGACCTACATAAAATATAAAGTTAACTTAGTAAGATAAACATTAAAGGAATGAAAGATATATTTTATGACTAAGACAGAGATCGTTGCAACTTTAAATTAATCAAAAAGTTGTTTTGAAGATTCCAAAGAAAGGAAACATCGCATTAAACTTTACTAAATATAAGAAATAAATGAGAAAATGTACCTACTTATGGATAGTTGTACTGTACAAGAGAATGTTCCTGTAAACCTCTCGAATATTTTGATAATAAAATTTAAACCCTTGGGTGAATATTCTGCATATCTGATGTTTTTGAATATATTTTTAAAGGAAGAATAAGTTTAAAAAAGAAACAAAAATGTGAATATAAACGATAACAAAACCAACCATCTATTAAGGTGAAAGAATCTACACAAAAGAAATATAACAAAACATCCAACGAGATAAAAATGATCATTAGTAAAAAACAGAATTTTTCAAATGTAATACCATGATTTAAGAAAGATAGATCATGTTTTTTTAAAGAAGAAAAATACAACGATAACGTCACTATCGAATATTTAAGTCTTAAATAGATAGATTACGTATTCTAAAACATAATTTAATTAATTTTATTGTTAAATATATTACGTTGTCTTACATGAAAAAAAAACACAATTTTATATATTTTAACGTCAATTACTTCCTAAAATTGTCAATTAAATAACTAACGAAGTATATTTTATATAATTTAATTTAAAAGATGTTAAGATTCGAAAATGGTATCTTGAATTTCACGAAAAGAAGGAAATTTCTGAGAATATTTCTCTAAATTTCGTTTATATATTATTTTTTGAAATATGGTAAACGCGATTTAGATATCGCTAGAGAAATCATAAATAATCGGATATTTGAGAAAACTGATCCAAAAATTCTCTCTAGGCCTATATTGTATATACAGTACATATACGTTTCCTTGCCTTTTATGTAAAATATAGGTTTTAGTATTCTCCAATATCGTGTAATCGTTAGAAGTGGAATAAATGTTTATTCTTCTGTCAGTGATACAGTAACATATATAAACTTTTAATTAGAATTATTATTGGAAGAAATAGAAAATTAATTATTTTCAAAAATACTTTTTTTATCTACTTACAAATTTTTTATTTTCAATATTAAAAAAATCACGCCTTAAGGAATTGTAATTGTGTTTTGCAATGAGGCTTCCGAGTAAAATTATTAAAAGAATTCTAAAAATATTTTTGCAACTCACTAAAAATTTAGGAGGTTTTAATCCTGATTTTCGACATTTCCAAATACAGAAATTGAATCGAATTGTATGATTGCTTTTGTTTCCTTTCTTCTTTTTTCTTCCTCTATCAATAGCTAAAGAGAAGGAAAAAGAAGAGGAGAACATAAAATATCGTTAATGATAACAATGATGATTTGTTGTTCCTGGTATTAATGCTACTAACTGCACGAAATCTGATACATTCTCAAAGAGGAACTTTGACCTTTTATAATACACATTTTATTTGTATAGAAACCAAGAAAGTAAAAATAAAATAAAGTGAAAAGTAGGTTAGAATGATTATAAAACCACACGTTTCCATTCAAAATCAATAAGTTCGTCAAAAATATCACGAGTAAAAATGGGAGTCACTTTCAAAAAAAAAAACTCATTTCTTTAGTAAATGTTTGCTTAGGAATTTCAGTTATTCTTCGATACAAGACTATAAAAATTTCCTCGATTTAACACAAAGAAGCTTGGTTGTATCGAAATTTTCATCCCGCTAGGATTCCTTTCGGATATTTTCCTAAGATTTCCTACACTCGAACACATGTCTTGACTATGAAAACGAATCCGAAGTTTGGTGATGAAGATGTATCTGTAAATGCACAGTATCGTAGATGGTGATTTGTAAACTTGTCAATAGCACTTGGTCCCCATTTCCACAATCGTTTACTAGGATCTGAACTTCTTTTACGACTATCTGCAAAGCCATAAATAGATTGCAAGTGCGTGAAAATGGCTTCATCTTTTCTATCTTCGCTTGAATTCATGATTAACACACCTGACTCCTTTATGGCTCTGTGCTTTTTTTACGAAAAAATTTTCGATATAATACAGAAAGTAGAATAATTTCCTTATATAAATGTAAATTGAATAAAAAATGTTGGAGAAAAAAAGATTTTTTTTTACAATTTTTAAAAAAATATTTATATAAACATAATTTATAAATATATATTTATCATTGTTTATTTTTATTAAATAAAAATTAAACGTTGTTTAATTTACAAAAATCGAAATTTACTTGATTAAGTTCATTGCATTTTAAACTTTCGAGATTTAAACAGCAAATGTTAATATAATTCGTTCAATTATAAAAGCCGTACGTTAGAAAATGGTTGCTTCCAATTAGTAACTTCTTAATTACATTTATCAATAGCCTGCAGAAAAGCTGTTGAAGTTAAGCAGAATTTTAAAAATAAATCCCGTTTTTGGAAGATAATTCTTCTCGTCCTTTTAATAATTTTCAAAACTAATGAAGCGAATAAAGACGATCAAATTATTTTGGAATGGATTCTATAAATATAACTTTTGGTTTGTCACTCTTTCTCTAAGATGGAAACGACAGAATGCCTTTGTTAAAAATTGAAAAGAGTATTATTGACAATAGATGAGTGAAAAAAAAAGTTGGAGTTGTATAAATATTTAAACCCTTTCCATCAATAATATATAATCTCATCCAGCAACGTTACTTAGGATTTATATAAAGAAGAATAAGATTTTATCCGAGGTTATAAAAAGA